ATATATTCTAATATCATGTATTTTACAGTTTTGGCTGCATCTTTAAATGCAGACGTATTTGTCTAATTCATTAAATGTTAATGCATCTCATCAATGTATTAATAGATTATTACAGTTAACTGCACAGAAAAGTGGCTCATATGAGCTCATGGGCCAACATAAGTAAAGTATTTTTCTTGCTTGATGATTAGCAAAGCGCAAATGCATTTTTATTTTCCAGGTCGCACAGTCACACTGAGCCACTGCTGCTGTGTTCGACATTTGTTGTCGTGCTGCAGAGTAAACTTGCACAAAGCTGACATTGGTCCCGTCTCCACGAAAAGCTGATCGATGCGACTGCTCTGCTCTCGGAACAGAACAACATGGTGGGAGGTGCCGGACGCATGTGAAGGAAGTTTGACTCTCAGTTTGTGTTTGGTGCATTACTCCAGAGTGTGTGTGTTTGCTGCAGTGCCCCTGCTGAAGGGCATACAGTAAGGCCCTGGTCAGCATGCTGCAGGTCTCCCGGGACGTCCCGGGGTTTTCGGATCAATAGCTCTCCTCCTGCATCTCCCTGCCTCAACGTCCTCACCCCTCCTCACCCACTCACTTGACTTTGGGGCTATTTATGGTTCCTCTATGGATTAACGAGACCCCAACAATCAATGGGGCCAAACTTACTATCGCTGTACTCTCCCTGCTCTCCTCGCTTTGTGTCTCTGCTTGTGTCAGCTGCTTTACTCTGGAAAACTTTTAGTCCCTGTAGTTTCTCTTGTGGCCCAGAAAAATGTGAGAGTACCTGAAGTATAAAGTTAGTTTAGTGTCACAGACACCGTCCCGCACAATAAAAGCGTACGGAATATCATTTCAAATCCAGTTGCGACTCAAAGGAGACATGGGTCACCACTTGCTGCAGCTCCTCTTTTCAGCCTCTGTCTGAAACTTCAGCTTCATTCATTCTACTCTTTGAAAACAGAGAATGTAGATCCTGGTGTAGTCTACCAAACGTCTCCTTTAAGGTGTAAATAAGTATTAGTACTTTGTGACTCACTTATGACACATCATATACCGTGGCTGAAGTGCAGAGGAGAGTCTGTACAAACTGTCGCTCCCTGTGTAATTTGGTGTATAGTGGTTGGAAACAACGTTTGTACCAGCGTCTGTTCAGACCACATCAAGCGCTGGTGTAATCGTGTTATTTTAGTTTCTTTATACGGCAAAGTCACGCCCACGTAAACCACTTCAGAATCAAATAAACTGATTTTATACGTCTAGTCTGACGCTTTACTTTTCTGCCAATGAATCACCGAACGCAGACTTTATATTTAACCCTTCAGTACTGCATTGTGTTGTCCACGTAATAGATACATGATGTACTAATACATTTATTACTGCAGCTCCACCCTCCAGATGTGACATTATCCTCATATCCATCAAATCAAAATGTCACAAACCGACAGTCAGCAGCACACACACTCCTCGTCTGTATCTGATATCGTGATTCCTAAACCATCTGTGGTCATTGTGGCGAACTCGCTCAACAATAGCACAGAGTTGAGCACAATGGCACCTTGACCCCCCGTTTCCTTTAGTGGCGATCCTAATTAGCTCGGCGTCTCCCATGCCATTGTTAATGTATCAGTGTCCCGAGTCCCTGTGGAGAGCAGCAACTCCGCTCAGCTAATCACTCAGCGATGATTATCACTCAGGTGGTCATTGTTAGAGGCTGTGAGACAGAAACTTGGGTTGTGATACACGAGAGTCAAAAAAGGACAAGGACGTGGGGGTGAAGCAGGAGAGAATGGACGTTGATGGGTCTTATCTTATTCTGTCTCCGCAGAGAAACGGTTTGTGATGATCTCTGCAGTCAGTGCTGCTCTGCTCCTTATTGATGTTTGGCTCATGTTTGTTCACCGAACGTTTATTTTGTGCCGCCCGTAAAAAAGACGGATCATGATCCTTTTTTTTTTTTCGATTGAGGTTTTAATTACTGTTGAAATGTCACGGCACGGAGCAACAGGCGGGTTTTTACATGTGCATTACAAAACCCACTGAAGTTCATGTGCATTTTACAATCTATGGCCTTTTTCCAAGAGATAAGTGAATCCTTAACCCTGAGTCAACATCACCCGGAGGCGCAATGTGTAGAAATAAAAATCTGCAGAAAGCATTCGTCCCATTCACGAGCTCAAAACGTTCATAAGTTAGGATATGTGTTGAAAATGATGGATTCCAATGCTGACATGGAAACTTAAGAGTGAATCCCAAACCTGAAACAGCAGCACACACACTTCGGGTCATTTCTCTTCTTATACACATTTTTTATTTAAGTATGTGAGGAGGTAACTTTGTAGATTTGGGGTCATTTCTTAATGTAAATAATATTTTTAATAATACAATAATATCTTGAATAATGCACCAGGTTAAAGAGTTTCCTCGTACAATGAAAACCATGAATTATCTGAGAATCTCCTTTATATCGAGCGATCGATGTTGTAACTGACTCATAACTGATTGAATCAGGCTGGAAGTTGGATCGAACTGGGACCAAGTGAATCAGGAACTGAATTGATTCCACGAAAATAGTTGTGATGCCCAGGAAAGAGGACGGATGAGGGGGGAGAGAGTGGAGTCGTATGAATAGCCTGGCAGAGAGAGAGAGAGAAAGAGGGAGGCAGTAGGGACCCATACTTGGGTGGAGTTTTGGATGCAGGATCGGAGTGAGTGAAACTATCGTACCCTATATGTGCTGCGGTCTGAGAGAAATGTTAAAACATAGAGAATCAATAACTAGAAGGTGAATCAGTACCACCCGAGCCACTTCCTGGCGTGTGAACTGCATCATGACCGTCCTCCGCTGCTCACAAGGGCTCATTGTTTTTACTAAATCAGAAGGTTCTCATGTCTCTTTCCCTAAAAGGGTCAAACTGTTTGGAGAACGGAGCTTCAGAGGAAATCAAAACTTTAAAAGCCTTGAAAACTCAGGACATTGTTCTGGAAACAGACTCCAGTTAATCAGATCTGCGTTTGTTTGAGTCCTGTGGTTTCAATGTCTTTGAGCGGTTACCGCAGGACACACTGTTTACTAGAGTCACTTTATGATCAGCCCCTTGTGGAGTTTTTCTAAACGACCGTGCCGCTGTTGTTGTGGTGACACTTCATTAATGAGATTATCCTCTTTTATGCCTCCACGCCGGCGACAGCCAGAGGCCCGGAGGCGTTATGTTTTCCAGTTTTCCGTATACGTCCGTCCCATTCCTGTGAACACGATATCTTAAGAACGCCTTGAGGGGATTCTTTGAATTTGGTACAAACATTTAGTTGAACTCAAAGAAGAACTGATTGGATTTGGGCGGTCAAGGTCACCGTGACCTCACAAAAGTCTTTTTGCTTCACGTCAGCTTAAGAACACCTCCGGAGAATCCTTTCACATTTGGTACAAATGCACACGTGTCTCTGATTGACGATGAGACGAAGCTGATGTGAGTTTGACTTTTTCCCTCTCTTTTTTCCAGCTGTTTTCTGGGGCGACATCGCTTTAGACGAGGAGGACCTGCGAATGTTCCAGATCGACAGGACGATAGACCTCACGCAGCACACACACATGCACACACACTCCCGGCAGGGCCACACGTCTGGTGAGTGGACTCAACCTGGCGATTTTGAATCATTCGCCGATCGCACGATGTCGATGTTTTGACTCTTGGCACTTGTGTGTGTGTGTGTGTCAGGCGGCCTGGAGGAACATGAAATCGCAAAGAAGGGAGGGTCGTTATACCTGCTGCTGGAGAGAATACGTAGATTCGGTTTCGGTAAGAACAGTAAACATCTCTACGTTTGATTGCTGTCACCAAAAACACCACCACACTGGCAGATTTTGCACGTTTCAGCCATTAAACCAAAAATACAAAGTATATATATATAAAATGGACAACATGGCTTCTCCCCAAAAGTGAAGCCCATTTGTTTGATCGCCCCCTTGTGGCTTGCTGTAGTATAGGTTAATCAATGTTAATCAAATGTGGTTTCTTTAATTGTAGGTAGTTCTTCTCACGCAGATGTGATTAGATAGTGAGACTGATGCCCACAGTCCGTGCCAGGAGTTGTACTGTGCAGAGTTGTGTTTTGCTTTATGCATTTCAGCTGCAAACTTAAAATTAAAGACAGGGAACTAGATCTTTTTTTTTTTTTTAGAGGGAACTCAAAACATTCACTTGACAGACTCTCAGTCTTCAAGTTCAGCTTCCAGGTTTGTTTGAAATCGTTGCAGCCGCAAATGAATAGAAATCAACTGTAAAGACTGCATTTGTCAATCGCTAATTGCTAATGATCAAGTCTCCCAGACTCAGTCATTGCCCTCTATGACCCTGTGCAGAGGGAAGCCGCAGGAGGAGCCCACACCTTGTTTATATCATCATAATGTGAAACACTGTAAATCACTGGTGCTTTTGAGGAGAAAAGAGTCTGTGCTTGTCTGCGGTTGATTGACGATGAGAAAATCAGACATGTGTGAAGAATAAAAACCCCACGATGAAGCTTACAGGCTGAAACATGTTGGGTTTTTTATTAAAAAAGATATTCTCAATACTGTAACTGCTGGACTGTTGACAATTCAGGATTCATTCCATTCTGCACACAAGCAGAAGAAGTTGAGCCAGAGTCGTCTACTCCCTTGGAGAGAATTCAACTCATGCAGCGTGGATTTTAAACTTCTTCAAATTCAATGTGAAGCAAAACGACCAGAGCTGTTTAACTTTTATTCCTCTCACGTCTAAGAAATATCGCAGTATGGAAGCACCTTAATGAAGTTATGATAATAACAGTTTGAACACAGGTATTTTCACAGTCTCTTTCCACACTCTGTTAGATTATCTCCCCAAGAACATCAGCAAGGGAGCTGCCGGTCCCAAGAGCCAAACTGGGAAAGGTGGGAGGACTGGGAGCGCGGCGAAGAGCCGGGTCCCTCGAGCAGCCACATCTCGAGCTGAGAGGATATGGCCTGGAGGAGTCATCCCCTACGTCATAGGAGGAAACTTCACTGGTAAGCAACTCCACTGGACTGCTGCCTGCACTGCTCAGCACTGAAACACACACACACACACACACACACACACACACAAAGACACACACACACACACACTGACTGTGTAAAAGTGGGATGTAACTGTGTGTGTTCCAGGCAGCCAGAGGGCCATGTTCAAACAGGCCATGCGTCACTGGGAGAAACAGACGTGCGTAACTTTCATTGAGAAGACAGATGAGGAAAGCTACATCGTGTTCACCTACAGACCCTGTGGGTGAGTCTGGAAGATGTCTCTATGTGTGTGTGTGCGTGTGCGTGTGCGCACCTAGAGCTCAGCAGTGACCTTGTCACAGCGAGAGACGATGCGGTCACTCAACAATGGCTCCGCTTTCCTTCCTGTCCTGCTCCTGTTTCCCCATCCCACCAATCACACGCCGCTTTAAGTGTTTGTATGTTCGTGCAGCTCTTTTTTTTGTTTTTTTTTGTTCTTACTCTGCAGAAGTGCATTGTTCTGTTGAGTGGCAGCACAGTGGGGTCAGAGTGTGTTTGTACAGTGGTGGCACTTCACTGCTCTTATGTTGTAAGGTTTCAGGACGAGGGGGTTTGTCACTGCAGGAGATCGTCTTGTCCTGCAAAGTGTTGAGAGAGCAGGATTCCCACAATTTCCAGTCTTAACCCTAAAATGAGTCGATCCACAGAGAAGAACATCTGACGAGTAATTATCAGGCACAGATACAGAACTGGTTCCATAAAATCAGAATCAGTTGAAATAGTATTTGAGATGATATTTAACAAATATCTTGAATCAGATCAAATCATTGCACTGTAAAAC